GAGCCCAGGAGCCTCCAGCTCCTCGGGAGACCAGGAAAGACGATCTCCTCCTCCTTCTCCTCCTTCTTGGTCTTGATGGTGCTCTTACTCTTGCTCTTGTCGCCTCCTTTCGGTTCCTTTGTGATCGATTTTGCCACCTCCTACGAGCAGAAGATGAGAAGAGAAGAAGACCATGACGGAGAGGTTAGAAGGAAGGAGGGAGAGGAAGAGAGCATGAAGGAGAAGGAGGAGGAGGAGGAGGAGGAGGGAAGAGGAGAAGGTACCTCGAAATTTTTGATTGGCATTCCACTCACGTCGACAGCAGTAAAGCTGTAATAGGTTGGAACGATCCACATCCAAGGAGGAAATTCAACCATCAGCCAAGGCTTCTCTCCTTCTGCTTCTCCTCCCTTCCCCTCCTCCTCCTCCTCCTCCTCCCTCTCTACCCTCCATCCGGCATTGGCAAACTGGCGAGCATTGCGCTCGAGCACGTCAGCAGGGTCTCCAACGGTCCAGGAGGAGGAGGAAACTTTGAGCAGCCCGAGCCGAGCTGGGTTCCTCCAGAGGTGCTCCTCCTCCCCGAGCACGCGACCCATGGTGTCGATGATTCCTCCTCCGCTTCTCCTCCTCCTCCCCGCGCCTGCCACTCCCACGGGGACAGGTAGGAGAAGCAGGAGGAGATGGAGCTGCTGCCGGGGAGCTCCAGGACAGGAGCAGTCTGACAGGAGGAGTCGGAGGTTTGAGGACGCTGGTAGTCAGAAAGAAGGGAGGAGAGAGTCTTGCTTGCTTGCTTGGCTCCCTCCTCGATCCCCTTGAGAATCTCACTCTCACTCCGATCAGGATAAAAGGAGGACACGGGAGGCAGAAAGAAACGTCCTCCTCCTCCTCCTCCTCCTCCTCCTCCTCCTCCTCCTCCTCCTCCTCCTCCTCCTCCTCCTTTCTTCATCTCCGCAATCCCCTTTCCAGTCTCCACAAGCTCTTCTTCAAGTTGTGCAAGGGACTTTGGCTTCTTTCCCTCCTTCGAAGTTTTCTTCCCTTCCTCTTCTTCCTCCTCCTCCTCCAGAGGATCAGGAAGCACGAGCTTGTTGCCTTTCTCTGCTTCAGCCCACCACCTTCTCCTTGTCCATGGTTGCGACAGGGCGGCGAAGGTTTTCGTGACTTCTTCTGTTTTCTTCCTCCTCAGCCTCGGCCACTCGATCTCTTGCTGCTGCTCCACCATGTTCTTAAGAGTTTTCCTTGCCTCCTCAAGACAACTCTCCGCCTCCTCCACTGCTCCGCTGCTGCTGAAAGAGTCGCACGCTTTCATCCAATTCTGCAGCAGCGTCTTCCCCTCCTTCATCTTCCCCCGAGCAACTCGTCCCTCCTTCTTCATCGCATTCTCGATCTTCGCGCTCACCCACTTATTCGCACCTGAGAGCAGGAGGAAAGGAGAGACAGAGGAGGAGGAGGAGGAGGAGGAGGAGGAGGAGTCTTGGAGGGAGAAGCGGAGCTGGTTGATTGGACGCAAGGTGTCTCTCACTTGAGATGTGGAGATATGCTCCTCCTCGTCCCTGAGAATCTCTTCCTCCAGCCATCGCAGAATCGTCTCTATGGCGGATCGTGAGACCTGTAAAGATGTCATGGAAGAATCAAGAGAAAGCGGAGATATGAAGAGCATTTCATAGTCATGATCATCATCATCGCTATCAATTCCATTATCATCTCCATCATCATCTCAATTATCATCTCCATCATCATCTCCACCATCAATGGTATTTCTCTCTCACATTTTTCAGCCTTTCTCTGTCCGGTACACGATGTGCAGGGACTACTGTCAGTCTCTCCACATTCCACAGAGTGTCGCAGGATCGGAACTTACTCCTCCTGTCCTTCTCCTGCTCCTTCAGCTTCCTCGCCACCTCCTCTGCGGTCACAATCTTTCCCCGCTCCTCCCTCTTCATGTCTAGCAGCCCCTCCAGGCGGACGTTCACAAGAGCATGACACTTTCCCCCTCCCCCTCCCCCTCCTCCTCCTCCTCCTCCTCTGCCCTCGTCCTCGTCCTCTTCCTCTTCCTCTTCCTCGTCCTTTGTTCTGACAAGACCGCAGTAGAGGAAGCAGTCTGGGGTCAGTCCAGACAAGAGGGCGAGGTCTTTTCTCAGGAGCAGCTGGAACAAACTCTCCTCCTCTGCTACTGGCACATGTGCACAGTTGAGCGACAAGATCAGCCCGCAGTTGAACGGATCCAACTCCTGCTCCTGCTCCTGCTCTTTCTTCTTCCTCCTCCTCCCCTCCCCGCCCTTCTCCGGCGGGTTCGCGTCCTCCTGCGTCAGCCTCGCTCGCCGCTGCTTGGCAACCAGGTTGACAACGTCGCTGAGGCAGATGGTCAGCAGGAGCCCAGGAGGAGCCCAGCAGAGGTCAGACCTGAGATCCTCCAGCTGAGTGTGGAGCATGGAGTCCATGGAGATGTCGAGCTTCAAGTTGTGACCCGCTCCTCCTCCTCCTCCTCCTCCTCCTCCTCCTCCTCCACTCTCCTTCCCCTGCGAGGAGAATCTTCCTTCGATCATTCCTGTGCTGCTCTGCATCTTTCCGGCGTTGGTGAACCACCAGGTGTCAATCCGACGAGGAAGCTCCCATAGCCTGTAGCTGCTCAGCAGAAAGAACCTCCTCCTCCTCCTCCTCCTCTTACCGATCCTCCTCCTCCTCTTCCTCCTCCTCCTCCTCTTCCTCCTCTTCCTTCTTGGCCTTGTTTCGATCTATAGGAGGTATCAGGATGCAAGGGAAGTGAATACCAGGGCAGCATTTACAGATGTCTTGGTTGACATTTCTCTGAATTTCTTCATATCTTGTGAGGAAATCGGTTGACCGAGATGCTAAAACGAAAGTAAAGACGCCATGAGAGCAAAAACTTTCATCTTCTAATCTCATCTCACATATTCTGATATCATACACCTTCTAATCTCATCTCACATCTCTTCACCTTTCTTTGAGTTGTGAGGAGGAGGAGGAGAAACTTTGAGGGTCTCCAGCGCCTTGTAGTGTTCGCACCTGCCCAGTACGTCAGGTTGACTTTCTCAGCTGCCCAGCTCACTCACTCCGACAGCCCAGCTGACACAAGAGACGCAAACTCTTTAGGCTCCATGACATTCTCGTCCTTCTTGTACCAGGCGTTCTTACGAGGCTTCTTGAGCAGCTTCTCCTGCTCCTTCCCCTTCCCCTTCTCCCTCCTCCTGTCGTCTTTCATCCTTGCCGGCTTCGATAGTTTCTCCTCCTCTACCGATGAGGGCGGAAGGTGGGCAGAGCGTCTGTAGAGAGCGTTCACATCACTCTGAAAGTCTTGAAGAACGTCGTTGAGCTCTGATATGTGCAGCGGTCGCACAAGCGCTACTTCCTTGCTTGCTTCCTTCACAGTCTTGTTCTTGGGCTTCGCAACAGGCTTGTCAACCGGCTTGTCAACCCCAGAGGACAAGAGACTCGGAGATCTTGCCAGCAGCAGCTCGTCGATCAGTTTCTTGGCTTCAGCGATGTCGTAGCTCTTCTCTGCCTGCCCCCCACCCTCCTCCCTCGCGTATGAGCCCAGCGCTTCACCCTCCACTTCAGCTCGAGGGAACGAGTTGAAAAATCCAGTTTGAAGAGACCGATTGAGCTCGTCGAGTCCAGAGTTCAAATTTCGAATGATGTCTGAAGAAGAGGACGTCGCTACCTCCTCCTCCTCCTCCTCTTCCTCTCTCACTCTTGAGGCGCTCTCAGAAATTTCCTCAGTTGGATCTGCCATGTTCTGTTCCTGATTCCTCCTCTCTCTCTTTCTCTCTCCTCCTCTCTCTCTCCCTCTCCCTCTCCCCTTTTCCCTCTCCCCTCTCTCCCTCTCTCCCTCTCTGCTCGATTTCCGTTGAACCGAAACTCTGAAATTAAGGTGACCACCCACCTCCTGGAATGTACTAAAAAGTACCGGTTACTTTAGTCAAATTTGAGGACTTTCGTGTTGAGGAAAACGGATCACATCACCACTCATAGCAGAATCGAAGGACACGGGTAGGACTAGTCTCCACCTTGATCGTTCACTTCATTATCGCATGTCTCGTATATCTACATCTTGACTTTGGGAGTGGCTGCCTTCGACCTCTCGTTCCGCAATGCCTCTATCGCCATCATCATGTCCTCCACCTCGTCACGGAAGTGTGAGATCTGCTTGTTCTTGTTCTCGATCTCCGTCTCCAACTTCGCCTGACTCGACCGACTGGAGAACTGCAAACAGTAGGGTGAGAGGGAGCAACAGAGGAGCACATTGCGAGGAGAAGAAAAACGAAGAGGAGGGGGGGGGAGGAGACGAAGGGGGTGGGGGATGGAAGGACCAAGATGGTTCGAATACCTGCGCCTGCAGTAGCAGAGTCTCGAGCTCTTTCTCTCTTCTCCGATGCTTCTCCTCAAGCTCAGCCAGTCGCTCCTCCATCCTCTCAAGCTCTTTTTGCTGCAGCCTCGTCGTCAGACGGAGAGGCAGCCAAGCAGGATGAACAGGATGAACCTTTTTGACTTTGAACTCCATCTGCTGCGAGCTTGAACTCTTTAACGGCGTCATCTCCTGCGCTGCTCCACTCCCTCGGACCATCCTTTCGAGCTCGACAACCTAGCCTCTCGTCACCTTAGCCCACCAGCAGGCAGCACAACCTTCTGGCGAAGGTCGAGCAGCTCCACTGAGCTCTCGGGCACATGGTCGGGACGCTCTCGGGGCTGCGGAGGAAGCTCCACCTGCTCAGCAGTCAGCTGGGCTCGACCCGGAGGCCCGATGGCGAACCGAGTCTGAGTGTGTCGGGTGATCGGAGCCCTGGGGAGCGGAAGGAGCCTGCCGAGTGCAGCTGAGCTGCTTCAGCAGATCTTCGATGCGCCTTTGAGCTTCGCCCTGCGCCTGCTCGACCACCTGGCGCTCGCTGAGAACGAGAAATCGCTCGCATGCTCCACTCACCGACTTCGTGCTCTGCTCCACCGCATGCAGAGTCAGCTCAGCGACCTCTCTTGCTCGTTCGCTTTCCTTCAGCTTTTGCTGCATCATCATCATCTGATACCTCATTGTGTTCATGGAAGGATCGGAGAACAACGCCTGCATGTACTCAGGATACATGCCTCCTGCGAGTTCCCGTGGAAAGGATTGCAAGCTCTTGAGCTGTTCTTCCAGCTGTTGAATTCTCCGGTCCTTGAAGTCTGCTTCAGCATGTCCAGAAGCTGCTTGAGTGTCTATATTGTGCTCTGCTGCGGTAGAGCTCGCTCCCCATGCGACTTTGACCGCTCGATCTGTGGATATTCCACCAGCTTGATATTCTTCCTGTTGTCTCGTATCACGAAACTTTTCTTGAGGATCATTCGGCGGGAGGGTCTCAGGAACTTGATTGTCGTCCTTGTGTTGCTTGTCCTTTTCAGGAGCTGTGCTAGACGCCTCCTTCAACTTTGCTTTCGTGTTGGGATCCTGTATCGTTTGACTTGTTCTCAGGACTTTCTCTTCGTTCGCTTCGATCTGCTTTCGCTGTTCCTGATTCAACAATCTTCCTGGGGCGTTCTGCCTCTGAATAGCTCGATTCGCGTCTTCAAGCTGCTTCTCGAGATCTTTTATCTTTTTTTGATAGAAAGTACGAACGTCAGACATCTGTTTGTCAACCTCCTTCTTGGAGAGACTCGCTTCTTTGCCCCCTTGTTTCAACAGAAGCTTGTTGCTGAGCTCCTTGTTCGTCGTTTGCAGAGAAGCTATTCTCTTCTCATACGCAGTTCTTGCATTTTCTGTCTCTTGTCGCAGAACACGGATTCGTTTTTCGGTATCAGAATGCATCTCATCGATCTCTTGCTCAAGACTTTTTACTTTGAGCTGAAGATCCTGCACGACTTCAATCTCCTCTGCACTCGGCTGTGCGGCTCTGATGAGATCCTTGACAATGTTGGGCTCCTGCTCCCTCTCCCTCTTCTCCTTTTCCAGCTCGGAGATCTGATTACATCCCCGGTCAAGTCTTTTTGAGTGTACAGGAAGCAATACCTTCTTCTTCAAGTTCTTCACAAGCTTGGATTCTCCCTTCATTCCACTGTTCTCAAGTTCTGTTCCGAGGTTTGAATTCTTCTCTTCGAGCTGATGTACTTGTCTCTTCAGCTCACCTATCTCCCTCTCCTGAGACCTCAGCAACTGATCGTTCTTTGTAATGATTTCTTGATTTTCCGAGTACCACTGGACATTGCCTAGTCAGCACCAGAACATGTATTCATGTTCGTATAGCTTCACCTGGATTCGCGCCATGAGGTCTGTCTTCTCAAGGTCGAACTGCATTCTTTCTCTCTTCAATAAAGATTGCAGCTGTGCCACCTCGTTCTCATGCTCCACCAGCCTGTTTAAGTCCACCCCTGCCAGTTTTCCTTCTAACTCTTTCTTGGCTTTTCTCAACCGATCAATTTCCTGAAGAGAATTGCATCAGCACCGTGGTGAAATCAGCGAAGTACCTTACAAATTTCAGTTCTTGCTGCTGCTGCAAATTCTGTCTGCGCTCTGCTTCAAGCTCTTCGACTACCTTTGCCACTTCTAGCTTGGAGGCAAGATCGCCGGCCTGAAAAGAAGCACTATGAGCTAATGCTCACAGAGAGGAAGCTCCTGCTTGGCGACTTTCACCTGCCCAGAACTCCGACGAATCACTCTTTCCGTTTCTTCTTGAAGGAATTTGATCTGTTGATTGAGCTTTTGATTCTCAAGAAAGGCGCTGTGGTCCTTTTCTCTGGCCTGAGCCTGCAGCGATTTGCATTCACCAGTTATCCGTTCATTTTCCTTCTGATAGGCCTGGAATGCGAGCAAATAAACAAGTTGTACTTCATATTGTCACTCTCAAACTACCTGAAGAAGAACCTCCTGCTCCCGAATTGCCTTCTCGAGTCTCTCTCTATCTTCCTCTGTGATGCTTGCAGGAATTTTTCCGCCTTTGGCGACAGCCTTTACCATGTCCATTGCCTCAAGTTCTTCCACTCTGAAACCAGAGATAAGAAACATAATTGCAGCATCCCTCATGCCTATACCTCTTAGACAGCACAAAATTTCGTTCCTTTGTTTCTTGAAGCTCACGATCATGTAGCTCCGCCATCTCCCGGATGCGATCGGCATGCTGCTTTCTGAGCTGATCAAGCGCACCCTCATACTCTTTGATCATCTTCTCGTGATCCTCTTTCCTGACTTGTGAGCTCAGAGGCAGGATGGCGACTGTTTGTGCCTCCTCGCTCTTGATAGACATGCCTTTTTCAGGTTTCGAAATACTCACTTGAATCGAACTCGATGGGTCTATTTTGGAGCCTTGACTTTGAATGTTTCCTTGACCAGAGTCACATTCAACTGTCACACGGAAGCTCTCGCTCGACCCATCCCCTTCCCGTGACACCTTGCTTGTGCTCCCTCCTGCCTCCTTCCGTCCAGCTCTCGTCTCCCTACCAGCCTCCTGCTGCGCCTTAGTCGAGCCTTTGCTCAGACCCTTGGCAGGTGATATGGAAGGGACCGGCGGCGGCAGAGTCTTCGCGCTCTTCCCGGCTTGGACATCCTTGAGGCCGGGACGAGGGGGAGGTTTCAGAAAGGCAGACACCGGCTTGGGATCTGATCTCGGCAGTAGCTTGGACTTCTCGGACCCTGGCGGTAGAGTAGCCGGCAGAGGCTTGAGGCCTTTCCTCTCTCTCTCCTTCTCCGTCTCCCTCGCCCAGTCGCTGTCAGACTGCCGGGGGCTGTCGTCTTTGGGCTGGAGATGCTTGGGCTCTTTATCATCTTTGCTCCCGCTGATGAACTGTTTTTCATTGGCTTCCGCAGATGCCATAAGCTCTGAGATCGCATCACTGACGCTCTCGAGCCGACTGGGCGCTTGTGGCTCTGTTGGCGTGGGATGACCTGCCACGCATGAAGGCTTCAGATAAAAGCGACTCCACACCATCCGCGTGCCGGGACGCGATGCTCATACACAATGAACTACACGAGATGTCACCTTGCAGCCCCGTCGGACGAGGAGCCGCCTCAGTCTCTTCCCCCTCTATCACACCTGCCCAGAACACGTCATATACAGCACACTGACTGAGAGTGAAGGCTGCCCCGAGTACCTTGAGGGCGCCCTTTAGCTTGCAAGGCAGTCGGCTCGTGTAAGCCCTTGCCCATGACCATCTTCTCATTTGCTTCAGCTGCAGCCAACAGGCTGACAATCTCAGTGCTTGCCAAAGTGGATTCGCTGCAAGTGTATTAGATTGGGAGTCGAAACTGTCAAGCACTTTCAATCTGATACCTCACTGCAAGCTTTGCTGGCGAATCCGTCAAGGTTTCTTCAAGGTTGTATCCTGCCCATGACGCCTTCACAGACACTTGTGATGTCCTGACATCATCCTGATAATTTCCAACTCCTGCCTTCGTGGACTCGACTTGGGGCTCTTTGCTTTCCTGAATATCTTTGTTCTCAACTTCGAGCTTTCGGTTCAGCACCGAGTAATCGACTTGTCCCATCTTCGCGACCTCTTCAAAGAATTTTCGTTTCTCCTAAGGCGTCGAGTGAGTTGGAGTACGGTTAGGGCAGAGAGTCATCAAATCAACCTCTTCTTCAGTCTCCGAGTCTGTAGCGTAAGATTGATCCTACAAAGTAACCCCAGTCTCAGGAACGATGATGAGAGGGAACAATAATCCATCACCTTCAGCGCCTCTGAAAAATCTAATTCTCGGAAAACGGTCTTCTTTGCTAGTGAATCTTTGTTCTCCTGACCCAGTCTCGTGATCTCACTTGTTCCCGTCTGGTTTGATAACTGTGCTGGAATGCTCGAGTCTTTACCGACCGAAGTATCTACCAGAGTCTCTGCGCGCCTCGTTAGTGGTTCCTTCTCCTTGCTCTCGTTTTCTTTTGTTTGAGCTTTCTGGTTGTCGTTTGGCTCATCATCATCATCATCCCAGTCGTCTTCGTACACTTCTATTTCCTCTTCCACCGCGTTCTCTCCCATAGAGGGGCTAGGAGCTCTTGGGTGCACTGGCTTCTCCTCTCGAGTCTGTACGAGTAGTTTCCTCGGATTGCTTTCGTCCTCCTCCTTTGACTTAGAAAGGTGCGACGACCGAACTTCCGCAGTCTTTTCTGCCGGCTTTTCACGCGGGGGATCAACTGCTTTAGAAACATGCACAGGCTTGAAGCCTAGGGACCTGCCAGATCAGATATAAGACAGAGCTCTTGTTCACATCAAGATGACAAGTCAGAACTCTCACATATAAGACAGAGCTCTTGTTCACATCAAGATGACAAGTCAGAACTCTCACATATAAGACAGAGCTCTTGTTCACATCAAGATGACAAGTCAGAACTCTCAGATACAAGACAGAGCTCTTGTTCACATCAAGATGACAAGTCAGAACTCTCACATATAAGACAGAGCTCTTGTTCACATCAAGATGACAAGTCAGAACTCTCAGATACAAGACAGAGCTCTTGTTCACATCAAGATGACAAGTCAGAACTCACGCTGCAAACTGCCCTGGTTTCATGGGGGCAAAAACACCCTTGGCTCCTCCATGATTTCCGACGCTAGTCCTCTCCTCTGACTCTCCTTTGTGATGAGATCTGGTTCTGAAGGAGGAGTCCAGTGATGACTTGCTTCCCCCGGGGCTGAAGTTTCCGCTGATATCTCCTATCGAGCTCTCCTCCGTAGAGTCTTCTGCCATAAACCTACAGTGATTGACATCAGTGGCTGCTGCCATCGCCCTGACGCCTCTAGTTCCATCAAAGACCATCACCTTTCAAAGCTGTCGTAGCGAGATGTCTTCCTCTGCTCCTTGCCGCTCGTGGTCTTCTCCTCCTTCATGCTCCCTCTCGCCTTCTCCTCCCTCCCCCTCAGCATTTCTTCATGGAGCTCTTGCGCGGGAAAATTGCCAAAAGACTGATGCAACCGCGAAAGCTGGTGGACCACTTGTAGTCTCATACAGCCCAGCATACAGCCCATTCAACGGACACAGCACAGCCCGGGTGACAGCCCGGCCTGGGATAACGGACGGTCTGACGGCAGGTCCGACGGTCTGAGTCTGCTGCCGGTCTCGGCAACACAGACAAGTACCTAACGTAGTTCTCTCAAAGTGTGCGAGATTTTCTCGAGGTAGCTCGTCCTGCTTGTGCTCCCTCCTGCCTCCTTCCGTCCAGCTCTCGTCTCCCTACCAGCCTCCTGCTGCGCCTTAGTCGAGCCTTTGCTCAGACCCTTGGCAGGTGATATGGAAGGGACCGGCGGCGGCAGAGTCTTCGCGCTCTTCCCGGCTTGGACATCCTTGAGGCCGGGACGAGGGGGAGGTTTGTTTCAGAGAGGCAGACACCGGCTTGGGATCTGAGGCCCTTGCCCACGACGAGCTTCTCGCGACGACATCTACAAGCCTTGTAGGCGGCAAGCAAGCGCCACTCCTAGCAGACTGACGGCTGACGGCAGGCCCGGTCCAAAGCATAGCCAGACCGTCTCCCACCATCCCTGCTACTCGTGCGCTAGAGGCCGGGTGAGCATGGTGCAGATGTCTGTCTTTCGCGTGCTCTTCATGTACAAGCCCTGGTCTAGAGTCCTACCGACTCTCTCTACGGGACGGTCGGGACTGACGAGCCGGGGCCGGGCGTCCGATCGACCTACACTCGAAGCATTGCGATCGCTGCTGGGCGTGCTGGCAGAGCACTATCTCTCCTGCACTCCCGGCGAAGAGAGCGGCGAGGTCGGTGCCGGCAGAGAGCATGTGGGCGACGTCTGGCGGGGGCTGGGGGCCGAGGCAGGCGGGGGAGCTTGCAGCGGGAGACAGCCTGCAGTCCTTGCATGTAGATCGCCTCCGGGCATGGATACAGATGCTGGCTCCCCCGCACTCCTTGCACTGAGATCGTATCCGCCCATGGGCACAGATGCTGGCTCCCCCGCACTCCTTGCACTGAGATCGTCTCCGCCCATGGGTACAGATGCTGGCTCCCCCGCACTCCTTGCAGCAAGATCGCTGGCGCCCATGGGCACAGATGCTGGCTCCCCCGCACTCCTTGCACTTATCTCGCTCGCGCCCATGGGCACAGATGCTGACTCCCCCGCACTCCTTGCACTTAGCTCGCTGGCGCTGATGGATACAGATGCTGGCTCCCCCGCACTCCTTGCACTGAGATCGCTGGCGCCCATGGGTACAGATGCTGGCTCCCCCGCAATCCTTGCACTTAGCTCGCTCGCGCTGATGGGTACAGATGCTGGCTCCCCCGCACTCCTTGCACTTAGCTCGCTCCCGCCCATGGGTGCAGATGCTGGCTCCCCCGCACTCCTTGCACTTATCTCGCTGGCGCCCATGGGTACAGATGCTGGCTCCCCCGCACTCCTTGCACTGAGATCGCCTGCGCCCATGGGCACAGATGCTGGCTCCCCCGCACTCCTTGCATCGAGATCGTATCCGCCCGTGCTCGCATGCCTTCCCGGATCCTGTCTGCTTTCTTCCCCCTCCCGGCTGGGCGTCGCCTGCTGCCAGCTTCGTCTCGTGGGCTCCTCCTGGCCCCGCGGAGCTCTCTGTCCTCGCTCGCTTGCTGCGAGGGCGGGAGGGGCTGGAGGAGCCTCGCGCCATGTCTCGCGTCAGGATCAGCGCAAACATGCCGTCTGGTGTGCGGTACCGGTGAGGGTCGGGCTGGGGTAGTGAGAGGGACGCGCAGGGGGTACAGAGGGGGAAGAAGGAGGGGTAGGGGCGGAGGGTACCGGTGGGGGGGTAGGGGGGGATGGAGAAAAAGGCGGGAAGATGAAAGTTTGTGGGTTGGTAGGGGAGGGTATCACAGCTATGACCTGATAGAGGTCTGCTACGAGGTGTCCTAGGACCCGGGGCCTGTGGGGCGGGCCCAACAACCCGAGAGAGGCAGTAGAGTCAAGGACAAGGTTGAGTGTGACCCGTCAGGGTAGGAGATGACGGACACACAGCACTCGCTCCTTCACCACCGGCACTCTCACTCTTGTATGATCCCCTCGGTGCGAAACCCACGATACAGCCACACGCTCAGCTCAGGGCACGAGCTGCTGTCGGTATCGGTGAGGTGCAGATGCGTCGAGTCCGCGTGTGGGTCGAGGACCGCGTTCCCAAGAAGCTCAAAGGGTCATGAGTAGGCAACACAACAGCAGTGTGTTGTGACGATGGCGAGTGTGATCAAAGAGTGAGAGAGAGGCAGAGCAGGAGGTGTGTTTTATTTGAGAGAAGGTGCCGAGATCGTCTCAGTGCCAATGAGTTGCAAATGACAAAGAAAGCGGGACTTTCAGATCAGGATTGAGAGAAAGGGAAATGAGTCAGCGATAGTTTCCTGATGCTGGTCTGTGATGGAGAGAGGGTCGCCCAGTGGCAGAGCAGCGGCAATAGTCAACGCACCCGCAGAGAGCCAGAGCCAGAGAGAGCACACAGGACCCCCGTCCTTCTCCTGACCAAGTGCGGGGAAAGGACCCCTCATCAGTACTGCTCGTACGCCAAAATGGATTGGAGGAAAGCCAACTCTTCGTCGTCATCTCTCAACATGGTACCACCCCGTCTCACTGAGCTCCTTGGCCAGAGGAGCCTCGCGAGATAAGCTAGAGAGTTGCTACTCTATCAGCACTACTACCCCCGGGTGCTACCTCAGAGCTAACAGTCTACAGCTGACTACCGGTGCTCTTGAGCTCGATTCACACTTGACTCCAAAGGTCAGCTGGCGTGCTCACCGACCTTACTTGGCAGGAATCAGAGCCAACCGTCGTCACACCAGCATCTCGATCCATCGTGACAAGCAAGTCACAACAGAGCGATACTCTAGCGTACTTGAAGGAGGGTCTATCCCCTCCCTACCCTCCTCCAGCCCCAGCCGCCAGGTGTGAGGGAGGGTTGACGGGAGGTCTAGGGGTAGGGAGGGAGATAGGGACGGGAGAGGAGAGCAGGCAAGACAAAGAGGCAGGGGGGAAGTCAAACGGCTCATGCTCGATGCCTCAATGCAACGGGGATAGGAGAGGAAGCACAAGGGAAACTCGTCGCAAGGCTCACCCGAGACGTGGCTCCCTTCATAGTCCAGCTCCCCAAGCGACAGAGGCCCTCGGGTCTTGCCCCTTCCATCCCCTCACTCCATTCTTACACCTCACATGCCTTGCTCTCCTTCCTTCCTCCGCGGCAAGAGCTAAGCACACCCCTGCATTCCCCTGCTGCAGACCAGGTAGGGTCTGTGCCCCGGTGCGACCCAAGGAGACGACGAGGCAGTCCTTGAGGTGCTTCAGAGGGTCCTTGCGAGGCTTGAGACCCGGTTGTTCTCCTGCTTGCTACCACCCCCCTCGCCTCCACAAGCCCCGTCACACCCCTGCTTCCACCCCGAAGGAGGCCGCAGGGTCCTCAGCCGGCAGGGGTGTTCCGTGTAGGGAACACCGGTAGGGCCGTTGGCCGGGGCTTGACAGCAGGGCCCCGTCAGGGTCCCTCCCCACAGACGGGTACCGCAATGGAGGCCGGCAAGGGGGGGGAGATAGGTAGGGTAGGGAAGTGAAGTAGACGTCATCGAGCTGCGTTGACTAGATCACTACCAGCATGCGCTCGTCTCTCCTGCTCGCTAGCACATGACCAGCACTTGCTCGCGTGCCTGGTGCTGGTGCTGGTGCCGGGTAGGTTGCGGGAGATCGTAGCCTTGACCCGAGGGCCGGAGCTGACTGCGGTGTAGGGATGACTCAACGCACGGCAGCTCTCCCTCGACCCATCCCCTTCCCGTGACACCTTGCTTGTGCTCCCTCCTGCCTCCTTCCGTCCAGCTCTCGTCTCCCTACCAGCCTCCTGCTGCGCCTTAGTCGAGCCTTTGCTCAGACCCTTGGCAGGTGATATGCAAGGGGCCGGCGGCGGCAGAGTCTTCGCGCTCTTCCCGGCTTGGACATCCTTGAGGCCGGGACGAGGGGGAGGTTTGTTTAAGAGAGGCAGACTCCGGCTTGGGATCTGAGGCCCTTGCCCACGACGAGCTTCTCGCGACGACGTCTACAAGCCTTGTAGGCGGCAAGCAAGCGCCACTCCAAGCAGACTGACGGCTGACGGCAGGCCCGGTCCAAAGCAGAGCCAGACCGTCTCCCACCATCCCTGCTACTCGTGCGCTAGAGGCCGGGTGAGCATGGTGCAGATGTCTGTCTTTCGCGTGCTCTTCATGTACAAGCCCTGGTCTAGAGTCCTACCGACTCTCTCTACGGGACGGTCGGGAGGCGTCCGATCGACCTACACTCGAAGCATTGCGATCGCTGCTGGGCGTGCTGGCAGAGCACTATCTCTCCTGCACTCCCGGCGATGAGAGCGGCGAGGTCGGTGCCGGCAGAGAGCATGTGGGCGACGTCTGGCGGGGGCTGGGGGCCGAGGCAGGCGGGAGAGCTTGCAGCGGGAGACAGCCTGCAGTCCTTGCACTTAGATCGCCTCAGCGCATGGAAACAGATGCTGGCTCCCCCGCACTCCTTGCACTGAGATCGCTGGCGCCCATGGATGCAGATGCTGGCTCCCCTGCACTCCTTGCACTTAGCTCGCTCCCGTCCATGGATACAGATGCTGGCTCCCCCGCACTCCTTGCACTGGGATCGTATCCGCCCATGGGTACAGATGCTGGCTCCCCCGCACTCCTTGCACTTAGCTCGTTCGCGCCCATGGGTACAGATGCTGGCTCCCCCGCACTCCTTGCACTGAGATCGCCTCCGCGCATGAATGCAGATGCTGGCTCCCCCGCACTCCTTGCATGTAGATCGCTGGCGCTGATGGGCACAGATGCTGGCTCCCCCGCACTCCTTGCAGAAAGATCGCTCCCGCCCATGGGCACAGATGCTGGCTCCCCCGCACTCCTTGCACCTAGCTCGCTGGCGCTCATGGGTACAGATGCTGGCTCCCCCGCACTCCTTGCACTGAGATCGTCTCCGCCCATGGATGCAGATGCTGGCTCCCCCGCACTCCTTGCACTGAGATCGCCTCCGCCCATGGGTACAGATGCTGGCTCCCCCGCACTCCTTGCACTTATCTCGCTCCCGCCCATGGGTACAGATGCTGGCTCCCCCGCACTCCTTGCAGAAAGATCGCTCCCGCCCATGGGCACAGATGCTGGCTCCCCCGCACTCCTTGCACTTAGCTCGCTCCCGCCCATGGGCACAGATGCTGGCTCCCCCGCACTCCTTGCACTGAGATCGTATCCGCCCGTGCTCGCATGCCTTCCCGGATCCTGTCTGCTTTCTTCCCCCTCCCGGCTGGGCGTCGCCTGCTGCCAGCTTCGTCTCGTGGGCTCCTCCTGGCCCCGCGGAGCTCTCTGTCCTCGCTCGCTTGCTGCGAGGGCGGGTGGGGCTGGAGGAGCCTCGCGCCATGTCTCGCGTCAGGATCAGCGCAAACATGCCGTCTGGTGTGCGGTACCGGTGAGGGTCGGGCTGGGGTAGTGAGAGGGACGCACAGGGGGTACAGAGGAGGGAGAAGGATGGGTAGAAGAGGGTACAGAGGGGGGAGCAGGAGGGGTAGGAGGGATTGTGTGTAAGGGGGTAGCGAGCTGTACTGGGGTAGGGGCGGAGGGTACCGATGGGGGGGGGGGGGTAGGGGGGTGGAGAAAAAGGCGGGAAGATGAAAGTTTGTGGGTTGGTAGGGGAGGGTATCACAGCTATGACCTGATCGAGGTCTGCTACGAGCTGTCCTAGGACCCGGGGCCTGTCGGGCGGGCCCAACAACCCGAGAGAGGCAGTAGAGTCAAGGACAAGGTTGAGTGTGACCCGTCAGGGTAGGAGATGACGGACACACAGCACTCGCTCCTTCACCACCGGCACTCTCACTCTTGTATGATCCCCTCGGTGCGAAACCCACGATACAGCCACACGCTCAGCTCAGGGCACGAGCTGCTGTCGGTATCGGTGAGGTGCAGATGCGTCGAGTCCGCGTGTGGGTCGAGGACCGCGTTCCCAAGAAGCTCAAAGGGTCATGAGGACGCAACACAACAGCAGTGTGTTGTGACGATGGCGAGTGTGATCAAAGAGTGAGAGAGAGGCAGAGCAGGAGGTGTGTTTTATTTGAGAGAAGATGCCGAGAACGTCTCAGTGCCAATGAGTTGCAAATGACAAAGAAAGCGGGACTTTCAGATCAGGATTGAGAGAAAGGGAAATGAGTCAGCGATAGTTTCCTGATGCTGGTCTGTGATGGAGAGAGGGTCGCCCAGTGGCAGAGCAGCGGCAATAGTCAACGCACCCGCAGAGAGCCAGAGCCAGAGAGAGCACACAGGACCCCCGTCCTTCTCCTGACCAAGTGCGGGGAAAGGACCCCTCATCAGTACTGCTCGTACGCCAACATGGATTGGAGGAAAGCCAACTCTTCGTCGTCATCTCTCAACATGGTACCACCCCGTCTCACTGAGCTCCTTGGCCAGAGGAGCCTCGCGAGATAAGCTAGAGAGTTGCTACTCTATCAGCACTACTACCCCCGGGTGCTACCTCAGAGCTAACAGTCTACAGCTGACTACCGGTGCTCTTGAGCTCGATTCACACTTGACTCCAAAGGTCAGCTGGCGTGCTCACCGACCTTACTTGGCAGGAATCAGAGCCAACCGTCGTCACACCAGCATCTCGATCCATGGTGACAAGCAAGTCACAACAGAGCGATACTCTAGCGTACTTGAAGGAGGGTCTATCCCCTCCCTACCCTCCTCCAGCCCCAGCCGCCAGGTGTGAGGGAGGGGGTTGACGGGAGGTCTAGGGGTAGGGAGGGAGATAGGGACGGGAGAGGAGAGCAGGCAAGACAAAGAGGCAGGGGGGAAGTCAAACGGCTCATGCTCGATGCCTCAACGCAACGGGGATAGGAGAACACACACAAGCGTTGAGGGAAGCATAAGGGAAACTCGTCGCAAGGCTCACCCGAGACGTGGCTCCCTTCATAGTCCAGCTCCCCAAGCGACAGAGGCCCTCGGGTCTTGCCCCTTCCATCCCCTCACTCCATTCTTACACCTCACATGCCTTGCTCTCCTTCCTTCCTCCGCGGCAAGAGCTAAGCACACCCCTCCATTCCCCTGCTGCAGACCAGGTAGGGTCTGTGCCCCGGTGCGACCCAAGGAGACGACGAGGCAGTCCTTGAGGTGCTTCAACCGGTAAGGCCGTTGGCCGGGGCCTGACAGCAGGGCCCCTTCAGGGTCCCTTCCCACAGACGGGTACCGCAATGGAGGCCGGCAAGGGGGGGGGGAGATAGGTAGGGTAGGGAAGTGAAGTAGACGTCATCGAGCTGCGTTGACTAGATCACTACCAGCATGCGCTCGACTCTCCTGCTCGCTAGCACATGACCAGCACTTGCTCGCGTGCCTGGTGCTGGTGCTGGTGCCGGGTAGGTTGCGGGAGATCGTAGACGGATGGCGGTACGGACATGGAGGACGTCGGCATGGCGCGGTGTGAGACAGACAGGCCTGCATGGGTCAGCTGGCATCGATCGACTTGCGTGGAGCAGCCGCACGAGCGTCCTCCTCCTCTACGCGCGCGGGGGGCAAGAAGCGAGAGGCTGCTCGAAGGCTCCTTGCCTTGCGTGCAGGAGCTCCGTCGGTGGAGGGTCTTGATCGTGAGAGAAGCCCCACCCCTTGCATCCGGTGGACATGATCTGTACCTCCACCATCAGACCTCGAGGAGGTGTGCGGTATGAGCCTTGACCCGAGGGCCGGAGCGGACTGCGGTGTAGGGAGAGCTCCTCGACTAGCGTCGATGCCGGAGCTGACTGCGGTGTAGGGATGACTCAACGCACGGCAGCTCTCCCTCGACCCATCCCCTTCCCGTGACACCTTGCTTGTGCTCCCTCCTGCCTCCTTCCGTCCAGCTCTCGTCTCCCTACCAGCCTCCTGCTGCGCCTTAGTCGAGCCTTTGCTCAGACCCTTGGCAGGTGATATGGAAGGGACCGGCGGCGGCAGAGTCTTCGCGCTCTTCCCGGCCCTTGGACATCCTTGAGGCCGGGACGAGGGGGAGGTTTGTTTCAGAGAGGCAGACTCCGGCTTGGGATCTGAGGCCCTTGCCCACGACGAGCTTCTCGCGACGACGTCTACAAGCCTTGTAGGCGGCAAGCAAGCGCCACTCCTAGCAGACTGACGGCTGACGGCAGGCCCGGTCCGAAGCATAGCCAGACCGTCTCCCACCATCCCTGCTACTCGTGCGCTAGAGGCCGGGTGAGCATGGTGCAGATGTCTGTCTTTCGCGTGCTCTTCATGTACAAGCCCTGGTCTAGAGTCCTACCGACTCTCTCTACGGGACGGTCGGGACTGACGAGCCGGGGCCGGGCGTCCGATCGACCTACACTCGAAGCATTGCGATCGCTGCTGGGCGTGCTGGCAGAGCACTATCTCTCCTGCACTCCCGGCGAAGAGAGCGGCGAGGTCGGTGCCGGCAGAGAGCATGTGGGCGACGTCTGGCGGGGGCTGGGGGCCGAGGCAGGCGGGAGAGCTTGCAGCGGGAGGCAGCCTGCAGTCCTTGCATGTAGATCGCCTCCGCCCATGGATACAGATGCTGGCTCCCCCGCACTCCTTGCATTGAGATCGTATCCGCCCATGGGCACAGATGCTGGATCCCCCGCACTCCTTGCACTTAGCTCGCTGGCGCGCATGGGTACAGATGCTGGCTCCCCCGCACTCCTTGCACTGAGATCGCTGGCGCCCATGGGTACAGATGCTGGCTCCCCCGCACTCCTTGCACTTATCTCGCAGGCGCTGATGGATGCAGATGCTGGCTCCCCCGCACTCCTTGCATCGAGATCGCTGGCGCTGATGGATGCAGATGCTGGCTCCCCCGCACTCCTTGCACTTAGCTCGCTCCCGCCCATGGGTACAGATGCTGGATCCCCCGCACTCCTTGCACTTAGCTCGCTCGCGCTGATGGATGCAGATGCTGGATCCCCCGCACTCCTTGCACTTATCTCGCTGGCGCCCATGGGTACAGATGCTGGCTCCCCCGCACTCCTTGCATCGAGATCGCAGGCGCTGATGGATGCAGATGCTGGCTCCCCCGCACTCCTTGCACTTAGCTCGCTCCCGCCCGTGCTCGCATGCCTTCCCGGATCCTGACTGCTTTCCTCCTCTTCCCGGCTGGGCCTCGCCTGCTGCCAGCTTCGTCTCGTGGGCTCCTCCTGGCCTCGCGGAGCTCTCTGTCCTCGCTCGCTTGCTGCGAGGGCGGGAGGGGCTGGAGGAGCCTCGCGCCATGTCTCGCGTCAGGATCAGCGCAAACATGCCGTCTGGTGTGCGGTACCGGTGAGGGTCGGGCTGGGGTACTGAGAGGGACGCGCAGGGGGTACATAGAGGGCAGAAGGAGGGGTAGGGGGTAGCGAGCTGTACCGGGGTAGGGGCGGAGGGTACTGGTGGGGAGGGTAGGGGGGTGGAGAAAAAGGCGGGAAGATGAAAGTTTGTGGGTTGGTAGGGGAGGGTATCACAGCTATGACCTGATAGAGGTCTGCTACGAGCTGTCCTAGGACCCGGGGCCTGTCGGGCGGGCCCAACAACCCGAGAGAGGCAGTAGAGTCAAGGACAAGGTTGAGTGTGACCCGTCAGGGTAGGAGATGACGGACACACAGCACTCGCTCCTTCACCACCGGCACTCTCACTCTTGTATGATCCCCTCGGTGCGAAACCCACGATACAGCCACACGCTCAGCTCAGGGCACGAGCTGCTGTCGGTATCGGTGAGGTCCAGATGCGTCGAGTCCGCGTGTGGGTCGAGGACCGCGTTCCCAAGAAGCTCAAAGGGTCATGAGGACGCAACACAACAGCAGTGTGTTGTGACGATGGCGAGTGTGATCAAAGAGTGAGAGAGAGGCAGAGCAGGAGGTGTGTTTTATTTGAGAGAAGATGCCGAGATCGTCTCAGTGCCAATGAGTTGCAAATGACAAAGAAAGCGGGACTTTCAGATCAGGATTGAGAGAAAGGGAAATGAGTCAGCGATAGTTTCCTGATGCTGGTCTGTGATGGAGAGAGGGTCGCCCAGTGGCAGAGCAGCGGCAATAGTCAACTGCTCGTACGCCAACATGGATTGGAGGAAAGCCAACTCTTCGTCGTCATCTCTCAACATGGTACCACCCCGTCTCACTGAGCTCCTTGGCCAGAGGAGCCTCGCGAGATAAGCTAGAGAGTTGCTACTCTATCAGCACTACTACCCCCGGGTGCTACCTCAGAGCTAAGAGTCTACAGCTGACTACCGGTGCTCTTGAGCTCGATTCACACTTGACTCCAAAGGTCAGCTGGCGTGCTCACCGACCTAACTTGGCAGGAATCAGAGCCAACCGTCGTCACACCAGCATCTCGATCCATGGTGACAAGCAAGTCACAACAGAGCGATACTCTAGCGTACTTGAAGGAGGGTCTATCCCCTCCCTACCCTCCTCCAGCCCCAGCCGCCAGGTGTGAGGGAGGGGGTTGACGGGAGGTCTAGGGGTAGGGAGGGAGATAGGGACGGGAGAGGAGAGCAGGCAAGACAAAGAGGCAGGGGGGAAGTCAAACGGCTCATGCTCGATGCCTCAACGCAACGGGGATAGGAGAACACACACAAGCGTTGAGGGAAGCACAAGGGAAACTCGTCGCAAGGCTCATCCGAGACGTGGCTCCCTTCATAGTCCAGCTCCCCAAGCGACAGAGGCCCTCGGGTCTTGCCCCTTCCATCCCCTCACTCCATTCTTACACCTCACATGCCTTGCTCTCCTTCCTTCCTCCGCGGCAAGAGCTAAGCACACCCCTCCATTCCCCTGCTGCAGACCAGGTAGGGTCTGTGCCCCGGTGCGACCCAAGGAGACGACGAGGCAGTCCTTGAGGTGCTTCAGAGGGTCCTTGCGAGGGTTGAGACCCGGTTGTTCTCCTGCTTGCTACCACCCCCCTCGCCTCCACAAGCCCCGTCACACCCCTGCTTCCACCCCGAAGGAGGCCGCAGGGTCCTCAGCCGGCAGGGGTGTTCCGTGTAGGGAACACCGGTAGGGCCGTTGGCCGGGGCCTGACAGCAGGGCCCCCCCTCCCCACAGACGGGTACCGCAATGGAGGCCGGCAAGGGAGGGAGAGATAGGTAGGGTAGGGAAGTGAAGTAGACGTCATCGAGCTGCGTTGACTAGATCACTACCAGCATGTGCTCGACTCTCCTGCTCGCTAGCACATGACCAGCACTTGCTCGCGTGCCTGGTGCTGGTGCTGGTGCCGGGTAGAATGCGGGAGATCGTAGACGGATGGCGGTACGGTACGGACATGGAGGACGTCGGCATGGCGCGGTGTGAGACAGACAGGCCTGCATGGGTCAGCTGGCATCCATCGACTTGCGTTTAGCAGCCGCACGAGCGTCCTCATCCTCTACGCGCGCGGGGGGCAAGAAGCGTGAGGCTGCTCGAAGGCTCCTTGCCTTGCGTGCAGGAGCTCCGTCGGTGGAGGGTCTTGATCGTGAGAGAAGCTTCACCCCTTGCGTCCGGTGGACATGATCTGTACCTCCACCATCAGACCTCGAGGAGGTGTGCGGTATGAGCCTTGACCCGAGGGCCGGAGCTGACTGCGGTGTAGGGATGACTCAACGCACGGCAGCTCTCCCTCGACCCATCCCCTTCCCGTGACACCTTGCTTGTGCTCCCTCCTGCCTCCTTCCGTCCAGCTCTCGTCTCCCTACCAGCCTCCTGCTGCGCCTTAGTCGAGTCTTTGCTCAGACCCTTGGCAGGTGATATGCAAGGGACCGGCGGCGGCAGAGTCTTCGCGCTCTTCCCGGCTTGGACAGGCTTGAGGCCGGGACGAGGGGGAGGTTTGTTTCAGAGAGGCAGACTCCGGCTTGGGATCTGAGGCCCTTGTCCACGACGAGCTTCTCGCGACGACGTCTACAAGCCTTGTAGGCGGCAAGCAAGCGCCACTTCTAGCAGACTGACGGCTGACGGCTGGCCCGGTCCAAAGCAGAGCCAGACCGTCTCCCACCATCCCTGCTACTCGTGCGCTAGAGGCCGGGTGAGCATGGTGCAGATGTCTGTCTTTCGCGTGCTCTTCATGTACAAGCCCTGGTCTAGAGTCCTACCGACTCTCTCTACGGGACGGTCGGGAGGCGTCCGATCGACCTACACTCGAAGCATTGCGATCGCTGCTGGGCGTGCTGGCAGAGCACTATCTCTCCTGCACTCCCGGCGAAGAGAGCGGCGAGGTCGGTGCCGGCAGAGAGCATCTGGGCGACGTCTGGCAGGGGCTGGGGGCCGAGGCAGGCGGGGGGGCTTGCAGCGGGAGACAGCCTGCAGTCCTTGCATGTAGATCGCCTCCGCGCATGGATACAGATGCTGGCTCCCCCGCACTCCTTGCATCGAGATCGTATCCGCGCATGGGTACAGATGCTGGATCCCCCGCACTCCTTGCACTGAGATCGTCTCCGCGCATGGGTACAGATGCTGGCTCCCCCGCACTCCTTGCACTGAGATCGTCTCCGCCCATGGGTACAGATGCTGGCTCCCCCGCACTCCTTGCACTTAGCTCGCTGGCGCCCATGGATGCAGATGCTGGCTCCCCCGCACTCCTTGCACTTAGCTCGCTCCCGCCCATGGGCACAGATGCTGGCTCCCCCGCACTCCTTGCACTTATCTCGCTGGCGCCCATGGGCACAGATGCTGGCTCCCCCGCACTCCTTGCACTTAGCTCGCTCCCGCCCATGGGTACAGATGCTGGCTCCCCCGCACTCCTTGCATCGAGATCGCCTGCGCCCATGGGTACAGATGCTGGCTCCCCCGCACTCCTTGCACTGAGATCGTATCCGCCCGTGCTCGCATGCCTTCCCGGATCCTGACTGCTTTCTTCCCCCTCCAGGCTGGGCCTCGCCTGCTGCCAGCTTCGTCTCGTGGGCTCCTCCTGGCCCCGTGGAGCTCTCTGTCCTCGCTCGCTTGCTGCGAGGGCGGGAGGGGCTGGAGGAGCCTCGCGCCATGTCTCGCGTCAGGATCAGCGCAAACATGCCGTCTGGTGTGCGGTACCGGTGAGGGTCGGGCTGGGGTAGTGAGAGGGACGCGCAGGGGGTACAGAGGGGGGAGAAGGAGGGGTAGGGGCGGAGGGTACAGGTAGGGGGGGGGTAGGGGGGTAGGGGGATGGAGAAAAAGGCGGGAAGATGAAAGTTTGTGGGTTGGTAGGGGAGGGCTATCACAGCTATGACCTGATAGAGGTCTGCTACGAGGTGTCCTAGGACCCGGGGCCTGTCGGGCGGGCCCAACAACCCGAGAGAGGCAGTAGAGTCAAGGACAAGGTTGAGTGTGACCCGTCAGGGTAGGAGATGACGGACACACAGCACTCGCTCCTTCACCACCGGCACTCTCACTCTTGTATGATCCCCTCGGTGCGAAACCCACGATACAGCCACACGCTCAGCTCAGGGCACGAGCTGCTGTCGGTATCGGTGAGGTGCAGATGCGTCGAGTCCGCGTATGGGTCGAGGACCGCGTTCCCAAGAAGCTCAAAGGGTCATGAGGACGCAACACAACAGCAGTGTGTTGTGACGATGGCGAGTGTGATCAAAGAGTGAGAGAGAGGCAGAGCAGGAGGTGTGTTTTATTTGAGAGAAGATGCCGAGATCGTCTCAGTGCCAATGAGTTGCAAATGACAAAGAAAGCGGGACTTTCAGATCAGGATTGAGAGAAAGGGAAATGAGTCAGCGATAGTTTCCTGATGCTGGTCTGTGATGGAGAGAGGGTCGCCCAGTGGCAGAGCAGCGGCAATAGTCAACGCACCCGCAGAGAGCCAGAGCCAGAGAGAGCACACAGGACCCCCGTCCTTCTCCTGACCAAGTGCGGGGAAAGGACCCCTCATCAGTACTGCTCGTACGCCAACATGGATTGGAGGAAAGCCAACTCTTCGTCGTCATCTCTCAACATGGTACCACCCCGTCTCACTGAGCTCCTTGGCCAGAGGAGCCTCGCGAGATAAGCTAGAGAGTTGCTACTCTATCAGCACTACTACCCCCGGGTGCTACCTCAGAGCTAAGAGTCTACAGCTGACTACCGGTGCTCTTGAGCTCGATTCACACTTGACTCCAAAGGTCAGCTGGCGTGCTCACCGACCTTACTTGGCAGGAATCAGAGCCAACCGTCGTCACACCAGCATCTCGATCCATGGTGACAAGCAAGTCACAACAGAGCGATACTCTAGCGTACTTGAAGGAGGGTCTATCCCCTCCCTACCCTCCTCCAGCCCCAGCCGCCAGGTGTGAGGGAGGGGGTTGACGGGAGGTCTAGGGGTAGGGAGGGAGATAGGGACGGGAGAGGAGAGCAGGCAAGACAAAGAGGCAGGGGGGAAGTCAAACGGCTCATGCTCGATGCCTCAATGCAACGGGGATAGGAGAACACACACAAGCGTTGAGGGAAGCACAAGGGAAACTCGTCGCAAGGCTCACCCGAGACGTGGCTCCCTTCATAGTCCCAGCATGCACATGACCAGCACTTGCTCGCGTGCCTGGTGCTGGTGCCGGGTAGGTTGCTGGAGAGCGCAGACGGATGGCGGTACGGACATGGAGGACGTCGGCATGGCGCGGTGTGAGACAGACAGGCCTGCATGGGTCTGCTGGCATCCATCGACTTGCGTGTAGCAGCCGCACGAGCGTCCTCCTCCTCTTCGCGCGCGGGGGGCAAGAAGCGTGAGGCTGCTCGAAGGCTCCTTGCCTTGCGTGCAGGAGCTCGGTCGGTGGAGGGTCTTGATCGTGAGAGAAGCCCCACCCCTTGCATCCGGTGGACATGATCTGTACCTCCACCATCAGACCTCGAGGAGGTGTGCGGTATGAGCCTTGACCCGAGGGCCGGAGCTGACTGCGGTGTAGGGATGACTCAACGCACGGCAGCTCTCCCTCGACCCATCCCCTTCCCGTGACACCTTGCTTGTGCTCCCTCCTGCCTCCTTCCGTCCAGCTCTCGTCTCCCTACCAGCCTCCTGCTGCGCCTTAGTCGAGTCTTTGCTCAGACCCTTGGCAGGTGATATGCAAGGGGCCGGCGGCGGCAGAGTCTTCGCGCTCTTCCCGGCTTGGACATGCTTGAGGCCGGGACGAGGGGGAGGTTTCAGAGAGGCAATCACCGGCTTGGGATCTGAGGCCCTTGCCCACGACGAGCTTCTCGCGACGACGTCTACAAGCCTTGTAGGCGGCAAGCCAAGCAGGCTGACGGCTGACGGCAGGCCCGGTCCGAAGCATAGCCAGACCGTCTCCCACCATCCCTGCTACTCGTGCGCTAGAGGCTGGGTGAGCATGGTGCAGATGTCTGTCTTTCGCGTGCTCTTCATGTACAAGCCCTGGTCTAGAGTCCTACCGACTCTCTCTACGGGACGGTCGGGACTGACGGGCCGGGGCCGGGCGTCCGATCGACCTACACTCGAAGCATTGCGATCGCTGCTGGGCGTGCTGGCAGAGCACTATCTCTCCTGCACTCCCGGCGAAGAGAGCGGCGAGGTCGGTGCCGGCAGAGAGCATCTGGGCGACGTCTGGCGGGGGCTGGGGGCCGAGGCAGGCGGGGGAGCTTGCAGCGGGAGACAGCCTGCAGTCCTTGCATGAAGATCGCCTCCGGGCATGGATGCAGATGCTGGCTCCCCCGCACTCCTTGCACTGAGATCGCCTGCGCCCATGGGCACAGATGCTGGCTCCCCCGCACTCCTTGCATCGAGATCGTATCCGCCCGTGCTCGCATGCCTTCCCGGATCCTGTCTGCTTTCTTCCCCCTCCCGGCTGGGCCTCGCCTGCTGCCAGCTTCATCTCGTGGGCTCCTCCTGGCCCCGTGGAGCTCTCTGTCCTCGCTCGCTTGCTGCGAGGGCGGGAGGGGCTGGAGGAGCCTCGCGCCATGTCTCGCGTCAGGATCAGCGCAAACATGCCGTCTGGTGTGCGGTACCGGTGAGGGTCGGGCTGGGGTAGTGAGAGGGACGCGCAGGGGGTACAGAGAGGGCAGAAGGAGGGGTAGGGGTGGAGGGTACCGGGTTAGGGGAGGGGTAGGGGGGTAGGGGGATGGAGAAAAAGGCGGGAAGATGAAAGTTTGTGGGTTGGTAGGGGAGGGTATCACAGCTATGACCTGATAGAGGTCTGCTACGAGGTGTCCTAGGACCCGGGGCCTGTCGGGCGGGCCCAACAACCCGAGAGAGGCAGTAGAGTCAAGGACAAGGTTGAGTGTGACCCGTCAGGGTAGGAGATGACGGACACACAGCACTCGCTCCTTCACCACCGGCACTCTCACTCTTGTATGATCCCCTCGGTGCGAAACCCACGATACAGCCACACGCTCAGCTCAGGGCACGAGCTGCTGTCGGTATCGGTGAGGTCCAGATGCGTCGAGTCCGCGTGTGGGTCGAGGACCGCGTTCCCAAGAAGCTCAAAGGGTCATGAGTAGGCAACACAACAGCAGTGTGTTGTGACGAGGGCGATTGTGATCAAAGAGTCAGAGAGAGGCAGAGCAGGAGGTGTGTTTTATTTGAGAGAAGATGCCGAGATCGTCTCAGTGCCAATGAGTTGCAAATGACAAAGAAAGCGGGACTTTCAGATCAGGATTGAGAGAAAGGGAAATGAGTCAGCGATAGTTTCCTGATGCTGGTCTGTGATGGAGAGAGGGTCGCCCAGTGGCAGAGCAGCGGCAATAGTCAACGCACCCGCAGAGAGCCAGAGCCAGAGAGAGCACACAGGACCCCCGTCCTTCTCCTGACCAAGTGCGGGGAAAGGACCCCTCATCAGTACTGCTCGTACGCCAACATGGATTGGAGGAAAGCCAACTCTTCGTCGTCATCTCTCAACATGGTACCACCCCGTCTCACTGAGCTCCTTGGCCAGAGGAGCCTCGCGAGATAAGCTAGAGAGTTGCTACTCTATCAGCACTACTACCCCCGGGTGCTACCTCAGAGCTAAGAGTCTACAGCTGACTACCGGTGCTCTTGAGCTCGATTCACACTTGACTCCAAAGGTCAGCTGGCGTGCTCACCGACCTTACTTGGCAGGAATCAGAGCCAACCGTCGTCACACCAGCATCTCGATCCATGGTGACAAGCAAGTCACAACAGAGCGATACTCTAGCGTACTTGAAGGAGGGTCTATCCCCTCCCTACCCTCCTCCAGCCCCAGCCGCCAGGTGTGAGGGAGGGGGTTGACGGGAGGTCTAGGGGTAGGGAGGGAGATAGGGACGGGAGAGGAGAGCAGGCAAGACAAAGAGGCAGGGGGGAAGTCAAACGGCTCATGCTCGATGCCTCAACGCAACGGGGATAGGAGAACACACACAAGCGTTGAGGGAAGCACAAGGGAAACTCGTCGCAAGGCTCATCCGAGACGTGGCTCCCTTCATAGTCCAGCTCCCCAAGCGACAGAGGCCCTCGGGTCTTGCCCCTTCCATCCCCTCACTCCATTCTTACACCTCACATGCCTTGCTCTCCTTCCTTCCTCCGCGGCAAGAGCTAAGCACACCCCTGCATTCCCCTGCTGCAGACCAGGTAGGGTCTGTGCCCCGGTGCGACCCAAGGAGACGACGAGGCAGTCCTTGAGGTGCTTCAGAGGGTCCTTGCGAGGCTTGAGACCCGGTTGTTCTCCTGCTTGCTACCACCCCCCTCGCCTCCACAAGCCCCGTCACACCCCTGCTTCCACCCCGAAGGAGGCCGCAGGGTCCTCAGCCGGCAGGGGTGTTCCGTGTAGGGAACACCGGTAGGGCCGTTGGCCGGGGCCTGACAGCAGGGCCCCGTCAGGGTCCCTCCCCACAGACGGGTACCGCAATGGAGGCCGGCAAGGGGGGGAGAGATAGGTAGGGTAGGGAAGTGAAGTAGACGTCATCGAGCTGCGTTGACTAGATCACTACCAGCATGCGCTCGACTCTCCTGCTCGCTAGCACATGACCAGCACTTGCCCGCGTACCTGGTGCTGGTGCTGGTGCCGGGTAGGTTGCGGGAGATCGTAGCCTTGACCCGAGGGCCGGAGCTGACCGCGGTGTAGGGATGACTCAACGCATGGCAGCTCTCGCTCGACCCATTCCCTTCCCGTGACACCTTGCTTGTGCTCCCTCCTGCCTCCTTCCGTCCAGCTCTCGTCTCCCTACCAGCCTCCTGCTGCGCCTTAGTCGAGCCTTTGCTCAGACCCTTGGCAGGTGATATGCAAGGGGCCGGCGGCGGCAGAGTCTTCGCGCTCTTCCCGCCTTGGACATGCTTGAGGCCGGGACGAGGGGGAGGTTTGTTTCAGAGAGGCAGACTCCGGCTTGGGATCTGAGGCCCTTGCCCACGACGAGCTTCTCGCGACGACGTCTACAAGCCTTGTAGGCGGCAAGCAAGCGCCACTTCTCCTAGCAGACTGACGACTGACGGCAGGCCCGGTCAAGCAGAGCCAGACCGTCTCCCACCATCCCTGCTACTCGTGCGCTAGAGGCCGGGTGAGCATGGTGCAGATGTCTGTCTTTCGCGTGCTCTTCATGTACAAGCCCTGGTCTAGAGTCCTACCGACTCTCTCTACGGGACGGTCGGGAGGCGTCCGATCGACCTACACTCGAAGCATTGCGATCGCTGCTGGGCGTGCTGGCAGAGCACTATCTCTCCTGCACTCCCGGCGAAGAGAGCGGCGAGGTCGGTGCCGGCAGAGAGCATGTGGGCGACGTCTGGCGGGGGCTGGGGGCCGAGGCAGGCGGGGGGGCTTGCAGCGGGAGGCAGCCTGCAGTCCTTGCATGTAGATCGCCTCCGGGCATGGGTACAGATGCTGGCTCCCCCGCACTCCTTGCATCGAGATCGCTGGCGCCCATGGGTACAGATGCTGGCTCCCCCGCACTCCTTGCACTTAGCTCGCTCCCGTCCATGGGCACAGATGCTGGCTCCCCCGCACTCCTTGCACTGGGATCGTATCCGCCCATGGGCACAGATGCTGGCTCCCCCGCACTCCTTGCACTTATCTCGCTGGCGCTGATGGGTACAGATGCTGGCTCCCCCGCACTCCTTGCACTGAGATCGCCTCCGCGCATGGATGCAGATGCTGGATCCCCCGCACTCCTTGCATGTAGATCGCCTGCGCCCATGGGCACAGATGCTGGCTCCCCCGCACTCCTTGCATCGAGATCGCTTGCGCTGATGGATGCAGATGCTGGCTCCCCCGCACTCCTTGCACTTAGCTCGCTGGCGCTCATGGGTACAGATGCTGGCTCCCCCGCACTCCTTGCACTGAGATCGCCTCCGCCCATGGATGCAGATGCTGGCTCCCCCGCAATCCTTGCACTGAGATCGCCTGCGCCCATGGGTACAGATGCTGGCTCCCCCGCACTCCTTGCAGAAAGATCGCTCCCGCCCATGGGTACAGATGCTGGCTCCCCCGCACTCCTTGCACTTAGCTCGCTGGCGCTGATGGGCACAGATGCTGGCTCCCCCGCACTCCTTGCACTGAGATCGCTCCCGCCCGTGCTCGCATGCCTTCCCGGATCCTGACTGCTTTCTTCCCCCTCCCGGCTGGGCCTCGCCTGCTGCCAGCTTCGTCTCGTGGGCTCCTCCTGGCCCCGCGGAGCTCTCTGTCCTCGCTCGCTTGCTGCGAGGGCGGGAGGGGCTGGAGGAGCCTCGCGCCATGTCTCGTGTCAAGATCAGCGCAAACATGCCGTCTGGTGTGCGGTACCGGTGAGGGTCGGGCTGGGGTAGTGAGAGGGACGCGCAGGGGGTACAGAGAGGGCAGAAGGAGGGGTAGGGGCGGAGTGTACCGTGGGGAGGGGTAGGGGGGGGGTGGAGAAAAAGGCGGGAAGATGAAAGTTTGTGGGTTGGTAGGGGAGGGCTATCACAGCTATGACCTGATAGAGGTCTGCTACGAGCTGTCCTAGGACCCGGGGCCTGTCGGGCGGGCCCAACAACCCGAGAGAGGCAGTAGAGTCAAGGACAAGGTTGAGTGTGACCCGTCAGGGTAGGAGATGACGGACACACAGCACTCGCTCCTTCACCACCGGCACTCTCACTCTTGTATGATCCCCTCGGTGCGAAACCCACGATACAGCCACACGCTCAGCTCAGGGCACGAGCTGCTGTCGGTATCGGTGAGGTGCAGATGCGTCGAGTCCGCGTGTGGGTCGAGGACCGCGTTCCCAAGAAGCTCAAAGGGTCATGAGGACGCAACACAACAGCAGTGTGTTGTGACGATGGCGAGTGTGATCAAAGAGTGAGAGAGAGGCAGAGCAGGAGGTGTGTTTTATTTGAGAGAAGATGCCGAGATCGTCTCAGTGCCAATGAGTTGCAAATGACAAAGAAAGCGGGACTTTCAGATCAGGATTGAGAGAAAGGGAAATGAGTCAGCGATAGTTTCCTGATGCTGGTCTGTGATGGAGAGAGGGTCGCCCAGTGGCAGAGCAGCGGCAATAGTCAACGCACCCGCAGAGAGCCAGAGCCAGAGAGAGCACACAGGACCCCCGTCCTTCTCCTGACCAAGTGCGGGGAAAGGACCCCTCATCAGTACTGCTCGTACGCCAACATGGATTGGAGGAAAGCCAACTCTTCGTCGTCATCTCTCAACATGGTACCACCCCGTCTCACTGAGCTCCTTGGCCAGAGGAGCCTCGCGAGATAAGCTAGAGAGTTGCTACTCTATCAGCACTACTACCCCCGGGTGCTACCTCAGAGCTAAGAGTCTACAGCTGACTACCGGTGCTCTTGAGCTCGATTCACACTTGACTCCAAAGGTCAGCTGGCGTGCTCACCGACCTTACTTGGCAGGAATCAGAGCCAACCGTCGTCACACCAGCATCTCGATCCATGGTGACAAGCAAGTCACAACAGAGCGATACTCTAGCGTACTTGAAGGAGGGTCTATCCCCTCCCTACCCTCCTCCAGCCCCAGCCGCCAGGTGTGAGGGAGGGGGTTGACGGGAGGTCTAGGGGTAGGGAGGGAGATAGGGACGGGAGAGGAGAGCAGGCAAGACAAAGAGGCAGGGGGGAAGTCAAACGGCTCATGCTCGATGCCTCAACGCAACGGGGATAGGAGAACACACACAAGCGTTGAGGGAAGCACAAGGGAAACTCGTCGCAAGGCTCACCCGAGACGTGGCTCCCTTCATAGTCCAGCTCCCCAAGCGACAGAGGCCCTCGGGTCTTGCCCCTTCCATCCCCTCACTCCATTCTTACACCTCACATGCCTTGCTCTCCTTCCTTCCTCCGCGGCAAGAGCTAAGCACACCCCTGCATTCCCCTGCTGCAGACCAGGTAGGGTCTGTGCCCCGGTGCGACCCAAGGAGACGACGAGGCAGTCCTTGAGGTGCTTCAGAGGGTCCTTGCGAGGCTTGAGACCCGGTTGTTCTCCTGCTTGCTACCACCCCCCTCGCCTCCACAAGCCCCGTCACACCCCTGCTTCCACCCCGAAGGAGGCCGCAGGGTCCTCAGCCGGCAGGGGTGTTCCGTGTAGGGAACACCGGTAGGGCCGTTGGCCGGGGCCTGACAGCAGGGCCCCGTCAGGGTCCCTCCCCACAGACGGGTACCGCAATGGAGGCCGGCAAGGGGGGGGGAGATAGGTAGGGTAGGGAAGTGAAGTAGACGTCATCGAGCTGCGTTGACTAGATCACTACCAGCATGCGCTCGTCTCTCCTGCTCGCTAGCACATGACCAGCACTTGCTCGCGTGCCTGGTGCTGGTGCCGGGTAGATTGCGGGAGATCGTAGACGGATGGCGGTACGGACATGGAGGACGTCGGCATGGCGCGGTGTGAGACAGGCAGGCCTGCATGGGTCTGCTGGAATCGATCGACTGCGTGGAGCAGCCGCACGAGCGTCCTCCTCCTCTACGCGCGCAGGGGGCAAGAAGCGTGAGGCTGCTCGAAGGCTCCTTGCCTTGCGTGCAGGAGCTCCGTCGGTGGAGGGTCTTGATCGTGAGAGAAGCCCCACCCCTTGCGTCCGGTGGACATGATCTGTACCTCCACCATCAGACCTCGAGGAGGTGTGCGGTATGAGCCTTGGCGTAGGGATAGCTCCTCGACTAGTGTCCATGCCGGAGCTGACTGCGGTGTAGGGATGACTCAACGCACGGCAGCTCTCGCTCGACCCATCCCCTTCCCGTGACACCTTGCTTGTGCTCCCTCCTGCCTCCTTCCGTCCAGCTCTCGTCTCCCTACCAGCCTCCTGCTGCGCCTTAGTCGAGTCTTTGCTCAGACCCTTGGCAGGTGATATGCAAGGGGCCGGCGGCGGCAGAGTCTTCGCGCTCTTCCCGGCTTGGACATGCTTGAGGCTGGGACGAGGGGGAGGTTTGTTTCAGAGAGGCAGACTCCGGCTTGGGATCTGAGGCCCTTGCCCACGACGAGCTTCTCGCGACGACATCTACAAGCCTTGTAGGCGGCAAGCAAGCGCCACTCCTAGCAGACTGACGGCTGACGACAGGCCCGGTCAAGCAGAGCCAGACCGTCTCCCACTATCCCTGCTACTCGTGCGCTAGAGGCCGGGTGAGCATGGTGCAGATGTCTGTCTTTCGCGTGCTCTTCATGTACAAGCCCTGGTCTAGAGTCCTACCGACTCTCTCTACGGGACGGTCGGGACTGACGAGCCGGGGCCGGGCGTCCGATCGACCTACACTCGAAGCATTGCGATCGCTGCTGGGCGTGCTGGCAGAGCACTATCTCTCCTGCACTCCCGGCGAAGAGAGCGGCGAGGTCGGTGCCGGCAGAGAGCATGTGGGCGACGTCTGGCGGGGGCTGGGGGCCGAGGCAGGCGGGGGAGATTGCAGCGGGAGACAGCCTGCAGTCCTTGCATGTAGATCGCCTCCGCCCATGGATGCAGATGCTGGCTCCCCCGCACTCCTTGCACTGGGATCGCCTCCGCCCATGGATGCAGATGCTGGCTCCCCCGCACTCCTTGCATGTAGATCGCTCCCGCCCATGGGCACAGATGCTGGCTCCCCCGCACTCCTTGCACTGAGATCGTCTCCGCCCATGGGTACAGATGCTGGCTCCCCCGCACTCCTTGCATGTAGATCGTATCCGCCCATGGGCACAGATGCTGGCTCCCCCGCACTCCTTGCACTTAGCTCGCTCCCGCCCATGGGTACAGATGCTGGCTCCCCCGCACTCCTTGCACTTAGCTCGCTCCCGCCCATGGGTACAGATGCTGGCTCCCCCGCACTCCTTGCATCGAGATCGCTTGCGCTGATGGATGCAGATGCTGGCTCCCCCGCACTCCTTGCACTGAGATCGCTCCCGCCCGTGCTCGCATGCCTTCCCGGATCCTGACTGCTTTCTTCCCCCTCCCGGCTGGGCCTCGCCTGCAGCCAGCTTCGTCTCGTGGGCTCCTCCTGGCCCCGCGGAGCTCTCTGTCCTCGCTCGCTTGCTGCGAGGGCGGGAGGGGCTGGAGGAGCCTCGCGCCATGTCTCGCGTCAGGATCAGCGCAAACATGCCGTCTGGTGTGCGGTACCGGTGAGGGTCGGGCTGGGGTAGTGAGAGGGACGCGCAGGGGGTACAGAGGGGGAAGAAGGAGGGGTAGAGGGTACGGGTGTGAGGGGGTAGCGAGGTATACCGGGGTAGGGGCGGAGGGTACCGGTGGGTGTGTGTGGAGAAAAAGGCGGGAAGATGAAAGTTTGTGGGTTGGTAGGGGAGGGTATCACAGCTATGACCTGATCGAGGTCTGCTACGAGGTGTCCTAGGACCCGGGTCAAAAAACTTTATTATAAACTTGACCCGGCGGGCCGGGACTCTCAACAAAATATGGCCCGCGATCTGAGTCATCAGTTTACTATAAAAGCCCTAGGAATTGCTAGGAAGGTCCTAGCCTGTACACTTATTGGTCGTAGAGAGGATGCACTAGTGGTTCTAGGAAGGTCTTATCGCCTGTAGGGTTGCTATATCCAGCTGTAGGAGGGAACAACATGGCGAAAGAAATGGTAATGCAAGCAAGGGGAGCAAGGAGGAGGCAGAATGGGTAGGGAGGAGGCAGGGAAGATGATGAAAGGGATGGTAAATGATGGGAGAAGGGAAGGGAAGGGAAGGGAAGGGATGGGATGGGATGAGATGGGATGGGAAGCACCCCAACTAATTCCTACGTCTCTCAGGACAAAAACAACAAACTTGAAGCTGGCGCGTTAAAGCTGAAAGAAAATCATGAATGTAGCATGTTCTCATTCACAAGGAGAATGATACACTGAGTGAAACCCAAGATCTTTCGGAAAGCATGAAATCTCTGGTATAGTTTGATGATGGAAGTTTGATGAGTAACTGAGTATACGTGTGTAAGGCGAGAGCAAAGACTGCATCGTTGTTTCGGATTTTTCTCGTGAGTTTGTTTCAATGCTCAAAGACACATGCATCATTTCCTCCGGATCGAAGAGCAGACTCATCTTTGTCGACAGCTTCACTTTCTTTCTTTCAGATGCAACCTTTATTTGTGAACGTGGGCAATCGAACGAGGTTTTACTTCAACATGAGATTGGGCGTCTCGGAATCATTCGCAAACTTTGATCAAGCACGGATCATGTTCACAGGACCGAGTCGGACAAGCTCGATCATCACCTGGATCTCCAAGTCGCGGAGTGTCTTGGGAAGCCAGAGACAGTTCGCTTCCTCAACTTGGTTTGAAGACACAGACGAGGGGGGGCCCTGGGTCGTCGAGAAGTTGGTCTTGTATGATACGAATGCTAACGGAGTCCTGTGAGTGAGCTTCCATCCTCATCCTCATCCTCATCCTCATCCTCATCCTCATCCTCATCCTCCCTCTCCCCTTTCATCCTCATCCGCACTCTCCCCTTTCATCCTCATCCTCCCTCTCCATCCTCCCTCTCCCCTGGAGCGTTTCATTTTGTTTCCTTCTTGCCGACCAAGTCCCGTCTTATCGTTGAGATATTGATTTCTCACCTCCCATCTTCAGGTTCACCCGACAGGTCTTAGCACAAATGGCAGACAGAGTGAACTTGACAGTGTACGTGTGGACTCAGTATATGACCAACTGCTCCGCTGTTAAGGATTCGCCATGTACCGCTAGCGGTGGTCATTGCATCGATCGACAACTCGTTGCTGGCTTGATGGTAGAATGATCTTTTCTGGAGAGCAGGAGCTCTCTTGCCTGACCGTTTCATGTGATCAGCCCATGTCTCTTTGCTCTTGCTCTGGAGAGAATCTCTGGAGTGACAGTCAGATGTGCATAGATATACAGCAGGCGGCAACGTACAACAGCCAGGGTGAGTGAAGTAGTTCCTTGCCCCTTCTATAGCTTACAGGCCTCCAGTCGACCCGTCAAGCCCATTGCCGCAAGACATGAAACCATCATCCGGCTCGAGCCAGGTTGGGGGTCAGTGGGTTTCAAACTCTTCGAGCACTGGTAGCTGCTAAGATAGTAATGAAGTCCGGAGAACTGATGGGATTCGCGCAGGAAATACAGTCGCAACGAGCTTGAGGGTCGACGACAGTCCTCCTACTTCAAGTGTCGCGAACCTCCTGCAGATCTTAGGGCTCTCAGTGGTTCGTAACAGCTCAGTCTTCCCTCTCTCCCCCACTCTCTCCCTCACTCTCTCCGTTCCCCCCTAACCCCCTCTTCTCGCTCACAAGGCTACTGCAGATGATTCTGTTCCTGATCTATGCGGTGTACCTCACTTCGACACGGCTACAGGCCATCAAGCAGCTTTTCTTCTACCGCCGACCTTCCCGAGCGATGGTGAGAGGGTTGAACCCTCCTCATTCGCTTATCCTTCTGCAGCGTCGGCCGCAAGACTCCTTCTCTCACTTCGACCTGCCGCGCGTCCCCGGCAGGCAGAGCTCGTCCCTTCGGCGTTCCAGCAACTGGTGAGTGATTTCCTCTCCTTGTATCGGAGATGACCGCACTCGGGCAGGATGGATAACGACAGGAGGGAGAGGATGGATAACGACAGGAGGGAGACCTCTCGGCCAGACTTCTTTCCTACTTCATCCTCCAGGAGGCATCTCAGCGACCTTGAATCTCAACTTCCTCGGGCTTCCATGCTCCTTCCTCCTCCCCCTCCTCCCGTCTCGCTTCCTCCTCATCTCCTTCCTGGCGCGGTTCCTTCGAGGAGCACTGGAGGAAAAACAGCTGAGTGCTGCATCTGCTTCGAAGAAAGGGAGCAAGCACGCCTTCTGGTCTGCAATCTTGATCATATCTCCTCGTCCTCTCTTCTTCTCTTTCCTCTTCCTCTCTTCTTCTCTTTCCTCTTCCTCTCTTCTTCTCTTTCCTCGTCCTCTCTTCTTCTCTTTCCTCTTCCTCTCTTGTTCTCTTTGCTCGTCCTCTCTTCTTCTCTTTGCTCGTCCTCTCTTCTTCTCTTTCCTCTTCCTCTCTTCTTCTCTTTGCTCGTCCTCTCTTGTTCTCTTTGCTCCTCCTCTCTTCTTCTCTTTGCTCGTCCTCTCTTCTTCTCTTTGCTCGTCCTCTCTTGTTCTCTTTGCTCGTCCTCTCTTGTTCTCTTTGCTCGTCCTCTCTTCTTCTCTTTGCTCGTCCTCTCTTCTTCTCTTTGCTCGTCCTCTCTTGTTCTCTTTGCTCGTCCTCTCTTCTTCTCTTTGCTCGTCCTCTCTTGTTCTCTTTGCTCGTCCTCTCTTCTTCTCTTTGCTCGTCCTCTCTTCTTCTCTTTGCTCGTCCTCTCTTCTTCTCTTCCTCCTTCTCGTTGTTCGCATTATGATGCTTCTCCCTCCTCTTTCTCCTCTTCTCCTTCCTCTGACCCGCTCGTTCAGCCGTGTGGCCATTCAGACATCTGCTACGAATGCGCAGAGCACATCAAGAAAGCTGCTGGTTCCTGTCCCATCTGCAGAGTGAAAATCGCATCCGTTGTCCGAGTCCGCAACAGAAAGAGCTGATCTTTTGCTGTCATCTGTGATTCTTCTTCGTCCTCCCCCTCCCCCCCCTCTCTCCTCCTTGCAACTTCCTCTTCCCGTCTGTGGTCTACCCATATCACCTCTTTCTCCAAGCTCCACTTCCTCTCTTCTCCTCCTCCTCCTCCTCCTCCTCCTCTATCCCTCTCCACTTTCTTCACCCCCCTCGTCTCCCTCCTTCATCTGCTTCTTCATTCTCCGCTCAACTCATGGGGAGATCGATCGCTATGCTTCCCCCTCCCCTCTAAGGTGTGCGGTCACTATCGATTTCTCTCTTGTACTTGTGCTGTAATATACACGTCCCAATGATTTAGCTCAGTCGAGGGGCAAGAAAACGACGCCGCATCCATTAATGCAGAATCGAGTGTCGACTGAAAAAATGTCGTGATGATCAGGATGTCGAGAATGACGAAGACAGAGGATGAGGAGGGGCAGAGAGAGGAGCGAGAGAGGGGCGAGAGGGAGAGAGAGAGAGGGAGGGAGGAGAGAGTGAGAGAGAGGGAGGAGGAGATCCAGCAGGAGGATGGAGCAGGCGGAGAACAGAAGATAACCTGGACAGCCATCGAAGAGGAAGCCATCGGCCCAAAGCTCTCCGTGGAAGCAGCCGCAGATCCTGCCGTCTGTTCAGGTGTGAGAAAGTTTTCAGCTCCTCCTCACCGGCACTCGACTCGCTTGCAAATGGGGTGTGAGAATGGATTGCTCACCACCTGCCACCAGAAGTGAGGAGGAGGTGGAGGAGGAGGAGGAGGAGGAGGAGGGAGAGGAGGAGGAGGAGGAGGAGGAGGAGGAGGAGGAGGAGGA